GTCATATTTTGGAGGATCCCCATACTCTTCAGCAAGCTATGGAATTGGAGATACGCCATAGTCTTGTCACGGCTGCTAATCGGCATGCAAATCCTAGGGTTACACCACGTAATTTTGTTCAAAATTTGGCGTTTGTTGTATACAGGGACCCAGTGATATTTATGAAAGCTGCCCAAGCTGTGTGCCAGATTGAGATGGTTGGAGATAGACCGTATGTTGTTCTATTGAAGGACCGTGAGAAGGAAAAGAGCAAGGAAAAAGAGAAGGATAAGCTGGTTGATAAGGATAAATCATCAGGTGTTGCCACAAAGATAACATCAGGGGACATGGTTATGGCATCCCCTGTAAGTGCCAAAGGGAAACAATCTGATTTCAGTGCAAGGAATATGAAATCTCATCGCAAGCCACCACAAACCTTTGTCACTGTTATTGAGCATCTATTAGATCTAGTCATGTCCTTTGTCCCACCACAAAGAGCTGAGGACCAATCTGATGGTTCGTCATCCATGGACATGGATATTGACTCTAGTTCAGCAAAAGGTAAAGGGAAGGCTGTTGCTGTCACACATGAAGAGTCCAAGCAAGCAATCCAAGATGCTACTGCATGTCTGGCTAAAAACGCATTTGTCCTAAAGCTGCTCACAGATGTACTATTAACTTATGCTTCTTCGGTTCAAGTTGTTCTTCGCCACGATGCTGAGTTCAGCAGCACGCGAGGTCCTACTCGGACCAGTGGTGGAATATTTAATCATATATTGCAGCATTTGCTTCCACATGCTACAAAGCAAAAGAAAGAAAGGAAGCCTGATGGTGATTGGAGGTACAAATTGGCAACAAGGGGTAATCAATTTTTAGTGGCTTCATCTATTCGTTCTTCAGAAGGACGAAAAAGGATCTGTTCTGAAATCTGCAGTATATTTGTTGAGTTCACAGACAATTCTACTGGTTGCAAACCTCCAATGTTGAGAATGAATGCTTATGTTGATTTGCTCAATGATATTCTGTCAGCTCGCTCACCAACGGGCTCCTCACTTTCAGCAGAATCTGTAGTTACATTTGTTGAGGTTGGCCTTGTCCAGTGTTTAACGAAAACCCTTCAGGTTCTTGATTTGGATCATTCTGATTCAGCAAAGATTGTAACTGGTATTGTCAAGGCTCTTGAAGTGGTTACTAAGGAGCACGTTCATTTAGCAGATTTTAATGCTAAAGGAGAGAACTCATCAAAGACTGTTTTGGAGCAGAACAATGTAGATTCATCATCAAATAGGTTCCAGGTTCTTGACACAACTTCTCAACCAACTGCAATGGTAACTGATCACAGGGAAACTTTCAATGCTGTTCATGCTTCAAGAAGTTCAGATTCAGTGGCAGATGAGATGGATCATGACCGTGATATAGATGGAGGTTTTGCCCATGATGGTGAAGATGATTTTATGCATGAGATTGCTGAAGACAGAACAGGAAATGAGTCCACAATGGATATTCGGTTTGATATACCACGTAATAGAGAGGATGATATGGCTGAAGATGAAGATGACAGTGATGAAGATATGTCAGCCGATGATGGTGAGGAGGTTGATGAAGATGATGATGATGAGGAAAATAACAACCTGGAGGAAGACGATGCCCATCAGATATCTCATGCTGACACGGATCAGGATGACCGTGAGATTGATGAAGAAGAATTTGATGAAGATCTGCTAGAAGAAGAAGATGATGATGAGGAGGATGAGGAGGGTGTAATCCTTCGCCTAGAGGAGGGGATCAATGGAATTAATGTGTTTGACCATATTGAGGTTTTTGGGGGGAGCAACAATGTTTCTGGGGATACACTGCGTGTAATGCCATTGGACATTTTTGGCACAAGACGGCAAGGCCGTAGTACATCTATATACAATCTGCTTGGGAGAGCAAGTGACCAAGGTGTACTTGACCACCCACTCTTGGAGGAACCTTCGATGTTACTTCCACAACAGAGGCAACCAGGTATCCTCGTAAATTTGTTCTGTTTACACATTTTAGGCTCTGTTTGGATGCAGGTCATTTCTAAAACCACAGTTTCCAAAAACCAGTGTTTGAAGTCCTAGTTGCAATATACCACAGTATGCAGATAGTGAGGTTTCCTGCAGTATTTGTAAAGCTACTACTAGGTGTTTGGCACCTGCACTATTTCATAGAGTATTTTGTGTATATACATATTATTACTGAAATTGAGAAAGTTTAACCAAAATTGCACAGTATGCATGTGAAGCAACAAAATTCATCTGCTTGCCTGAATATATGTGAATACTGATAGGCTATAACTAGCTCATATTGGTCTGTTGCTTGCTTTATTTGTATATCCGTTGTCCTGTTGGCTTGTTTCGTGATAATTTTGGCATGATAAACTTCTCCTGTACAGCTTCAACATCATTTTTTGCTCCGGTTCTGTAGATGGAGCCAGACGGGAAGATGTAGCATTGCTTTCTTGTTTTTAAAAAAAGTCAAGAGTGGATATTTTATTACTCCAAAAAACTATTGTATCAGCAATACTACGGTTTACAAAGCGTATTACTTGAAGCGGAACACCTCAAATGATTTCTAAACTCCATTTTTTGAGAAACTGTGTTTTTTTAAAGATCTTCTAAAAATGCTATGCATCCAAGCAGTGCCTAAGCAGTTAACCTTCTTAAACTGTTCCAGCCTGGGAGATCATGCATAGCTTAACCAAATTATTGTCTCTTTTCAGAAAATTTAGTTGAGATGGCTTTCTCTGATCGGAATCAGGAAAATAGTTCTTCCCGTTTGGACGCTATATTCAGAAGCTTGCGAAGTGGACGGAATGGACACCGATTTAATATGTGGCTGGATGATGGCCCCCAACGCAATGGATCTGCTGCCCCTACAGTACCTGAAGGCATTGAAGAACTTCTGCTCTCTCAGTTGAGAAGGCCTATGGCTGAACATCCTGATGAGCAGAGCACACCTGCTGTTGATGCTCAAGTAAACGATCCTCCCAGTAATTTCCATGGGCCAGAAACTGATGCAAGGGAAGGATCAGCAGAACAAAATGAAAACAACGAAAACGATGATATTCCTGCAGTAAGGTCTGAGGTGGATGGCTCTGCAAGTGCTGGTCCTGCAGCTCCTCACAGTGATGAACTTCAAAGAGATGCATCCAATGCAAGTGAGCATGTCGCAGATATGCAATATGAACGTAGTGACACAGCTGTCCGTGATGTGGAAGCAGTAAGCCAAGCAAGCAGTGGTAGTGGTGCTACTCTAGGTGAAAGCCTCAGAAGTTTAGATGTGGAAATTGGAAGTGTTGAAGGACATGATGATGGTGACCGGCATGGCGCTTCAGACAGGACACCTCTGGGTGATGTACAGGCAGCTACTCGATCGCGGAGGCCTTCTGGAAATGCAGTACCAGTCAGCAGCAGGGACATATCATTGGAGAGTGTTAGGGAGATCCCCCAAAACACAGTCCAGGAATCCGATCAGAATGCCAGTGAGGGGGATCAGGAGCCTAACAGGGCTACTGGGACTGACTCAATAGATCCTACATTTTTGGAGGCTCTTCCAGAGGATTTACGGGCTGAAGTTCTTTCTTCACGTCAAAATCAAGTGACTCAGACTTCCAGTGAGCAGCCTCAGCATGATGCGGACATTGATCCTGAATTCCTTGCTGCACTGCCACCTGATATACGTGAAGAGGTTCTAGCTCAACAACGTGCCCAACGGTTGCAACAACAGTCTCAAGAGCTTGAAGGACAACCAGTTGAAATGGACGCTGTATCAATTATTGCAACCTTCCCTTCGGAAATACGGGAGGAGGTATAATCATGTTATTGATCTGTCTCATTTTGAAGCTTTTTTTGGCATAACTTGCTCTATGATTCTATCTTCAGTTACTATTATTTGATTTGCTTTTATTCCAGGTGCTTTTGACGTCTCCTGATACTCTACTTGCTACATTGACACCTGCACTAGTTGCTGAAGCCAACATGTTGCGTGAGAGATTTGCTCATCGATATCACAGCGGTTCACTATTTGGCATGAACTCCAGGAACAGGAGGGGAGAGTCCTCTCGTCGTGGTGATATCATTGGTTCAGGCCTTGAAAGAAATACTGGTGATTCGTCCCGTCAAACGGCCAGCAAGTTAATTGAAACTGTAGGGACTCCTCTTGTTGACAAGGATGCTCTCAATGCTCTTATACGATTACTTCGAGTTGTCCAGGTAATTCCCTTTCTTTGTCTGGTGGTTCTACTGTTTCTGGTGGTGCATGCATAGTAATAATAACTTTTGCCTCTATTATCTACAGCCTATATACAAGGGCCAGCTGCAGAGGCTTCTCTTGAACCTTTGTGCTCACCGGGAAAGCAGAAAGTCGCTGGTTCAAATTCTGGTGGACATGCTTATGCTTGATCTGCAGGGCTCTTCTAAGAAATCAATTGATGCAACAGAGCCGTCATTTAGGCTATATGGGTGCCATGCAAATATCACATATTCACGCCCTCAATCCTCAGATGGTAATTAATTTTGATCTTGTTTCAGTTTTTGTTGTCAGTTTGATTGTTCCATTGCTATATATTTGCTGAGAATTCTATCTGACTTGTCATTTCTTTGTTGCGATAAACAGGTGTGCCACCACTGGTTTCCCGCCGTGTGCTGGAAACTCTGACATACCTGGCAAGAAATCATCCAAATGTGGCTAAGCTCTTACTCTTTCTTCGGTTCCCCTGCCCGCCCACCTGCCATACTGAAACACTTGACCAGAGGCATGGAAAGGCTGTCCTTGTGGAAGACGGGGAACAACAGAGTGCTTTTGCACTCGTTCTACTTTTGACTCTATTAAATCAGCCTCTTTATATGAGAAGTGTAGCTCATCTTGAACAGGTTTACAATTTGTTTTCACCATTTTCGAAATAGATATTTTTCTTGGTTGAGTTTTTCTTAATCATTTGATATTTGTAGTTACTCAATCTTCTGGAAGTTGTCATGCTTAATGCTGAGAATGAAGTAAATCAAGCTAAGTTGGAAAGTTCATCTGAGAGACCGTCTGGACCTGAGAATGCAATACAAGATGCCCAAGAGGATGCCAGTGTTGCTGGATCATCTGGAGCGAAGCCCAATGCAGATGATAGTGGTAAATCATCCGCAGATAATATAAGTGACCTGCAAGCTGTTTTGCATAGCCTTCCGCAAGCCGAGCTTCGGTTGCTATGTTCATTGCTTGCGCATGATGGGTATGAACTTCTAACTTCAGTGAACTTCCTCAGTAATTTATACAATTTGTTTTCCCTATTGGCTTGCATTGCCATAATCATGCACACTATTGTTTTGCTCAGTTTTATTTTAGTATTTGATAAGTTTTTGTGTTAGATGTTCTTGTATCAGTTATCCTTGCCTAATAGGTTGGTCCTTATTTGTTTCCAGGTTATCAGACAATGCATATCTCCTTGTAGCAGAAGTTCTGAAAAAGATTGTAGCTTTGGCTCCTTTCATCTGTTGCCATTTCATAAATGAGCTTTCACGTTCGATGCAAAATTTGACTGTTTGTGCCATGAATGAGCTTCACTTGTATGAAGATTCTGAAAAGGCAATTCTGAGCACATCATCAGCCAATGGCATGGCAGTTCTAAGAGTTGTGCAGGCCTTGAGTTCTCTTGTCACATCTCTGCAAGAGAGAAAAGATCCAGAGCTTCTTGCAGAGAAGGACCATTCAGATTCCCTGTCCCAGATTTCTGATATTAACACAGCATTGGATGCATTGTGGTTGGAGCTAAGCCACTGCATAAGCAAAATAGAGAGCTCTTCAGAATATACATCAAATTTGAGTCCAACTTCTGCAAATGCAACTAGAGTATCAACTGGTGTAGCACCTCCCTTGCCTGCTGGAACCCAGAATATATTACCGTACATAGAATCCTTTTTTGTGACATGCGAGAAGTTACGTCCAGGACAACCTGATGCTGTTCAAGAGCCTTCAACATCTGATATGGAGGATGCTTCAACATCTAGTAGTGGGCAAAAATCATCTGCAAGCCATACCAGTCTTGATGAGAAGCACACTGCTTTTGTTAAATTCTCGGAGAAGCACAGAAGATTGTTAAATGCTTTTATCCGACAAAACTCTGGGTTGCTAGAAAAATCATTCTCTCTGATGTTGAAGGTCCCCCGCTTGATTGATTTTGACAACAAACGTGCATATTTCCGGTCTAAAATTAAGCATCAGCATGACCATCATCACAGTCCTGTTAGAATTTCTGTCCGACGGGCGTACATTTTGGAAGACTCTTATAATCAGCTTAGGATGCGCTCACCCCAGGACTTGAAGGGTCGACTCACGGTTCATTTCCAAGGAGAAGAAGGCATTGATGCCGGTGGACTCACAAGAGAGTGGTATCAGTTACTATCACGAGTGATTTTTGACAAGGGTGCCCTTCTATTCACGACTGTTGGAAATGACTTGACATTTCAACCAAACCCTAACTCTGTGTATCAGACTGAACACCTCTCATATTTCAAATTTGTTGGACGAGTGGTGAGTAAAGGATTATTGATATTATTATTACTACCAGCTACCACCACCACCACCACCACTACTAACAATTTTTTCTCCCTAGGTTGGAAAAGCGCTCTTTGATGCCCAACTTTTGGATGTCCATTTCACTAGATCTTTCTACAAGCACATACTTGGTGCCAAGGTTACTTACCATGATATTGAAGCCATTGATCCTGCTTACTACAGAAACCTTAAGTGGATGCTTGAGGTATGTATTTTTGTGTCTACGTTTATGTTTATGCCGACTGTTGACTGTCCAGATGTGACGTATTTTCCTTTTCTTTTGTGCAGAATGACATAAGTGATGTCCTGGACCTCACATTTAGCATGGATGCAGATGAAGAGAAGCTGATATTATATGAGAAAGCTGAGGTACGCCCTCTCCCCCCCTTTCTCTCTGTTTTGCTCCTTTCTCTCTTTGGTTAATGTGGTGACTGTAAGTACCAACTCTATGCAGGTAACTGATTGTGAGTTGATTCCTGGAGGGCGTAACATTAGGGTCACCGAGGAGAACAAGCATGAATATGTGGATAGGGTAGCAGAGCATCGTTTAACCACTGCAATTAGGCCTCAGATTAATGCTTTCATGGAAGGATTTAATGAGCTCATTCCTCGCGAGCTAATATCCATTTTTAACGACAAAGAGTTTGAACTGCTAATCAGTGGACTCCCTGATATTGACTGTGAGTTGAAAGAGTTAATTCAGTTCTATAATGATCCGTTTAGATCTTGCATGTGCTCTACTTATTTTGTACATCTGCTTTCAGTGGACGACCTAAAGGCAAATACCGAGTATTCTGGCTACAGCATAGCTTCACCAGTTATTCAATGGTTCTGGGAAATTGTACAAGGTTTCAGCAAGGAGGACAAAGCTCGATTTCTCCAGTTCGTTACTGGCACTTCAAAGGTATTTGGTGAAAGCACGACCTTTTAAATTGTGAAGCTATTATTGTTTATGAAAATTTGTTCTAGGGTACCTGTTAACTCCTGATCCCGCTTTGAACTGAACCGCAGGTACCTTTGGAGGGTTTCAGTGCGCTCCAAGGAATATCTGGGCCACAAAGGTTCCAGATACACAAGGCATACGGCAGCACCAACCATCTGCCCTCAGCTCATACTTGGTAACCAATCTTCACTAGTCCGTTATGCTTTTGACTTGTCAGCAACCATAATTGTTTCATTTAGGTATATACTGATTTGCTATTCTGCTTCTGCTTGCTGCAGCTTTAACCAACTGGACTTGCCTGAATACACATCCAAAGACCAGCTGCAGGAGAGGTTGCTATTGGCTATTCATGAGGCAAATGAAGGGTTTGGATTTGGTTAATCAGTCATTCCCGCACTTGTGCATTCGCTGCTGGGTATTTGTACAGATAGTACGGGAGTTGCAATAGGCAAGTGGGAATGTGTGCGTGCTTGTTCCACAGTCTGCTAGATCCCACTAGTTGGCAACATGAAGCATCAGCCTTAGGCACTACCAGGAGGTTCTCGATATTTGTTGGGAAATGGCCGAGATCTACCAGAATCATTGCATTGCAAACAAGTTACTGCAAAGAATGTGCAGTGAGTGGGAGTTTAAACAGACACCAACTATTTGATGTTCATAATATTGTTTTTCTTTATGGTCAGCTTTGACCGTTGCCCTGTTAAAATGTCATCTTGTTTACATTGTATTTAGCTGGAAGATCTTTTGAAGTCTTTTATAGATGTGCGGAATAGACTGGTAGAATGCAGCAATAAGACGAGTGCAATTTTCTCATAATCTGTTACTCATCTCGTCTCTTATGCCTCTTCTTGTGGTTGCATCTGTTAATCATTCAATACCTGCCAAAGGTCAAACCACATAAGCAAAACCGTATGGTCTGACGGTCACAGCAAAGAGTATCCTAGTCGCTTTCATGTCTACAGTGCCCTGAATTACAGCAGTAAAAGAGGATACGACTCGTGACTTGTTAATCATGGCTAAAACACAAAGGGGACGCTGAGCGGGGCAGTTGTTAGTTCCAACTTATATCATGGTGACAGGCTAAAACACAAATGGGATGCTGAGCGAACAGTCCCTTCACACAAAAAACTAGTGACACAATAGGAGTTCCTATTTGTCCAAGTAGCATCACTGATTCGCAAATTTTGGTGCGGTAGCTGTTAAGAATAAACCGGTGTCATTAGCGCTAATTGTTGTTAGGATTCTGTCATGTCCGTACGGGCGTTTTTTCACGCCAACAGGGGCTATTGTAAACGGATGCTTCTCCGGAGGCGCCCCAAATCCTTGTATAAATAGGGCGTTGCCCACAATTAATAAATACAAATTTTCTCTTGAATTCTTACACATTATCAGCCATGCCTCTACCAACAGAGCACGAACAGGACGAGAGAGAAGTGACGGGAAATCCGTCGATTTGCCAGATGACACAGGGCTAGAATTTATCACCCTTGGGGCCCAGGCAACGGCCGCCGTGGTCGTCGTGGTGATCAGGATTACCTTGGCCTTGCCGCGGCAGATCAAGCAGGACCAAGCAACCCGCCCGCGGCCGTCCACCAAGCCTACCAGGCACCTCCGATGCCGGCCTTCGTCGCTTCGCCAATGGACTGGGCTCCCGTCGAGGCAGCAACCACGCCCAGTTGGGGCCGCTCCTCTGCCTGAAGTACATGCAAATTTTTAGAAAAACACCAAGTTCAATGGTTCTTTCAAAGGCCAAAACAAGAACGTTAAGGGTAAGAGCAACCACAACAAGAAGAACAAGCCACAAAATTCAGACAAGGGGAAGGGCATAACAAAGAATAAGTTTGATAAAACTAAACTTTGCCAGAAATGTGGATGCTACAAGCATGTCACCAAGAAATGCCGCACCCCAAGACATCTGGTAAACCTCTACCTGCAATCCATGGAACGTAACAGATCTGCCCAAGGAGCAAGATATGAAGCTCACTTCAATCTTCAACCTGATAACAACAAGGAAGCTGGTTGTTCTCAAGATGTTCAAGGAGCACCAAGTAACAACAAGGAATTCCATCTATCGCAGGACTCCATAGACACAGAGAATATGATGACCGAATACGCCGCCGACATGTTCGAGGACTTTGACTAGTCAATTGACTCCATTTAGATATTGCATTGGTTTACATCCATCAGATTGTTGTAATAAAGTGTTTTTCGTTAAACTGAAAATTCCACATTTTAATATATAGATTTTTACGGGAGTCAATCCAATGGTGGAGGAAATGTGCCTTGTGGACAGTGGCACCACAAACTGTATACTTAGGGAAATAAAGTATTTCCAAACTCTTACAAAATTGAATGGAGATATTTTAACAATCGATGGACGCGATGCGGTAATCGCTGGCATAGGATGTGCCATATTTACCCTCCCTGTTGGTACACAAATTGTAATTGAGGATGCTTTATTATATCCCGATTCAACTCGTACCCTCATAGGTTATAAAGATATCCGCAAAAACGGTTTCCACATTGAAACTTATGAAGATAACAAAGAGCAATATCTCCTCTTTACCAAAGACAAAGGATATGGCAAACAAATATTTGAGAAAATTCTCTCTTTATCATCAGGATTGTACTACACATACATAAAACCTGTAGAACACGTTGCATTTAAGGTAATTTTTCAGAATGTAAATGCATTCCAAACTTGGCATGATCGCCTTGGTCATCTCGGTGGGATGATGAGGAAAATTATCTGCAATTCCAATGGTCATGACTTAAATGAATCTAAATTTCCACAATCTTCGGATTTTATGTGCACTGCATGCGCTACCCGGAAACTAATTTTAAGACCCTCATATCTTAAAATTCAAGCAGAACCACTACAATTCCTTGAACGAATTCAAGGCGATATTTGTGGTCTGATCCAATCATTGTTTGGACCTTTTAGGTATTTCATGGTTCTAATAGATGCATCTACACGAAACCATGCATTTTCCAAAATAGTGAGACAAGTTATCAAATTGCAAGCTCATTATCCTGAGAATCGAATTAAATCAATTCAAATGGACAACGCTGCTGAATTCTCTTCACATGCTTTCAATGATTATTGCATGGCGTTAGGCATTGAAGTTCAGCACTCAGTCCCATATGTCCATACCCAAAATGGATTGGCCGAATCTCTAATTAAGAGAATTAAGCTCATTGCACGAACCTTACTAATGAATTGCAATTTACCAACTTCTTGTTGGGGTCACGCGGTTTTACACGCCGCTGACTTAATCCAATTGCGACCAACTGCATATCACAACACTTCCCCTCTGCAATTAGTACGTGGAAACCTACCAAATATTTCCCATCTGCGTAAATTCGGATGCGCCACATATATGCCAATCTCACCACCGCAGCGTACATCCATGGGACCACACAGAAAATTGGGGATCCATGTGGGGTACAAATCACCGTCGATAATCAAGTACCTTGAACCCCTCACGGGGGATCTGTTCACAACCCATCACGCTGACTGCATCTTCAATGAGGACCATTTCCCGGCATTAGGCGGAGAAATCAAGTACCAAAAAGAATGCCTGGAAATCGATTGGAATGCCCAAGGCATTTCCTCCTCTGATCCATGTACTCAAGAAACTGAACTTCAAGTTTGGAAAATAATTAATTTGCAACACATTGCAAATAACCTGCCAGATTCATTTACTGACTATAAAAGTGTTACCAAATCCTACAATCCTGCTAAAAACGTGCTCGAAAGAGTGGAGGTACCAACAAAAACTACTCAACCCCCTGTTCAAAGGAAGAGGGGGAGAAGTACGGCCACGGGAAAGGATTCAGCTCCTCAAAAGCAACAAAGGAAACAGAGAAAGAGACCCTCTTAACCAGTAAATGTAAACCAACCTAGTGTTGATAATCATCAAATGGGTAATATACACCTAGTGGGAGGACAACCTCCACAACCCAGCTCAGTTGTGCACTCAATGACCGGGACATCGGAAAACCCTAACTCAATCGTATTGGGAAATCACGACCAGTCAACAAGGGTAAATGAAATTTCCACAAACTATATAGATTCTAGAGAATCTTACAATCCTAAGTCTACAATTGTCGACATATATTTCTCAACTACAGTTGCAAACAACCTTCTAAATGATCATGATCCAAAGACCATGGCAGAGTGCAAGAAACGCTCCGACTGGCCTAAATGGAAGGATGCAATCTAAGTAGGGTTAGCCTCGCTCAATAAATGAAAGGTTCTCACTGAAGCAATACCTACACCTCCCAGAGTTTTCCCCGTGGGATTCAAATGGGTTTTTGTTCATAAAAGAAACAAGAACAACGAGGTGGTGAGATATAAAGCAAGGCTTGTAGCCCAAGGTTTCATGCAGAGACCAGACATTGATTTCAATGAAACATATTCTCCAGTAATGAGTGGCATTACTTTTCGATACCTCATTTCTATGGTAGTTCAAAATCGTCTATCTATATAGTTGATGGATGTACTGATCGCTTACCTTTATGGTTCACTTGATTCGGACATATACACGAAGGATCCTGATGGAGTCCCAATCCTGAATCCAAACGCAAAATGCAACACATATTATGTAAAACTAAATAAGTCTTTATACAGCTTAAAACAGTCGGGTCGCATGTGGTACAACCGACTTAGTGAGTTCTTTTTGAAAAAAAGGATACTCCAATAATGATGTATGCCCATGTGTTTTCATAAAAAGTCCGCAATTGGACTTTGCATTATGTCTGTGTATGTTGATGATCTAAACATCATTGGAACCACACAAGATATTGATGAAGCACGCAATCACCTAAAGACGGAATTTGAGATGAAGTATTTGGGTAAAACCAAATTTTCCTTAGGATTGCAACTTGAGCACCTTCCCTTGGGTATTTTGGTTCATCAAACCGCCTATATCCAGAAAATATTGAAGAAATTCAATATGGACAAATCCTATCCATCCAAATCTCCTATGGTAGTTCGATCTCTAGACATAGAGAAAGATCAATTTAGACCAATGGATAATGGAGAAGAGATATTAGGACCTGAAGTTCCATATCTTAGTGCCGTTGGAGCGCTAATGTATCTTGCAAATTGCACTAGGCCTGATATTGCATTTGTAGTGAATTTACTAGCTAGACATAGCGCAAGTCCTACCAAACGCCATTGGACGGGAGTTAACAATATCTTTCGATATCTCCAAGGCACAAAGGATCTTGGCCTATTCTTTCAATTTCAGAGAAATTCAGACATTGATATGATTGGGTATGCTGATGCTGGCTACTTATCTGACCCCCACAATGCCAGATCACAAACTGGTTTTTTGTTCCTACATGGTGGGACATCCATATCATGGAAATCTTCC